TATATATATACACATATATATATATATATATATATATATATATATATATATATATATATATATATATATATATATATATATATATATGCATATATATATATACACATATATATATATATATATATATATATATATATATATATATATATATATATATATATATATACATATATATATATATATATATATATATATATATATATATATATATATATATATATATATATATATATATATATGAATATATATATATATATATTTATATATATATATATATATATATATATATATATATATATATATATATATATATATATGTATATATATATATACGCTAACACACACACACACGCGCGCGCATACATATATCTATCTATCTATCTAGCTAGCTAGCTATATATATATATATATATATATATATATATATATATATATATATATATATATACATATACATATATATATATATACATATATATATATATATATATATATATATATATATATATATATATATATATATATATATATATATATATGTGTGTGTATATATATATATATATATATATATATATATATATATATATATATATATATATATATACACATACACACACACACACACACACACACACACACACACATGTACATCAGCGATGTACATTTCTTTCTTACGCCTAAATCACACATTAATATATTTCTGTCATGCATCGTAAGTGGCCCTCTTTAAGATCATAGAACAATAACATGGAGGCTTTGCATACAGCCCATGAAACTTTTGAAATTCATTGATATTTTCTTTCTTGTTTCAATGTCAAAAGCGCTTAGAGGTCGTGGAGAACAGGAAATAATCGCAGTCGATGTTATTATAAAACAAGACTATTTTTTATAATGGTTCGTGAACATGACTCAGAGCGGACATGCCGAAGAGCACCACCTCATATACACACACGCACACACATACATGCAAACATACGTACATACATACATACATACATACTGTACAGATATACATGCATTCATACGTACATACATACATACATACTGTACAAACATACATGCATTCATACGTATATACATACCTACATGCATACATACATAAATGCACATACACATACATACATATATACACACATCCCTAAACACGGAAATTCCCTCCATAAAAAAAAAAGAAAATAGAAAACATATAGAAAATGCAAGGAAAAGAAAGAAATAAGAAAAAGAAAAAAAGAAAGAAAATAAACACTGACAATTTTTTTTAGAAATATATAAAAGAAAAAAAACAACAACAAGTAAAAAAAAAGGTAAAAAAAGGTAAAAAAAAAAGTAAGATACAAAACAAAAAGACTTGAAGATGATTTAGAAAAAAAAAGAAAAAAAAAAAAGATCATGGCCAAGGTCAGCCACTGCTGTCGACGCCCCAACGAGTTCTGATCATCATCATCTGCTTGCAAGATAATGAACGTCAGCCCGGGTGTTGTTTGCTGGCGTTCCTGTCGCTGGCGTGATTCCCTGTCAGCTCGAATGTCAGCCTCTGTCATTTTCCTTGCCGGGGCTGACAAAGAACAACTCATTATCGATATTGGTATTAATTATACTATTATTATTATTATGCGAATGATTGCTTAATTACCAGTTAGTTATTCAGTGATTCATTTCCAATTATCATTTGCGTATATTATATATTAGTATAATGTCATAAGTATAATCATAATTAGCGATTATACAACTCGTATCACTACATCATAATCATTAATGTTGTTGTTATGAATATTTCTATACTCTCATTATTATTGATTTTATAAGATTCCTGTTATTACTATTAGAATAACAATCATATCAAACTTGGCGATGTTTTGCTGGATATTACATTTCCCTAATTAGTATTGTATAAACAAAATGAAGAAAATTGTTTTCACTTGATAAAGATCACGTGATAATTCTTAACTTAGTCAATGAAAGTATTTGTAATTTCCTTCCATAAATATTTGGGAAAATATAACATTCGGGAATATACTCAAGACAACAATATATACATACACATCTATCTATCTATCTATCTATATGTGCGTGTGTGTGTATTTGCGTATTATGTATGTATTCCTGCTTTCATGCACGTTTATAAGTGCCTATCTCCTCCACTCGACACAAGCAAACAAAGACGCGGCGACAACAATCACTTCCCCAGCAGAGTGACGAGCGCGTAAACGGCCCGCGCCCCGCCGGCCTACTCGTCATTTACGGCGCTATTAATCAGGCCTTAATCACGATATGCCGACGCACCTGCTCGCGGAGATGGGCCGGGAGTAATTATGTGAGTGGTAATAATAATTAGGCCATAATGTAGGACCGGTTGAGTGGGAGGATGGAGAGGGAGAGGGAGGGAGGGGGAATAGGGGTTGGGGAGGAGGAGAGGGAGAGAGGGAGGAGGTGGGGGAGGGATAGGGAGGGAAGTGGGGAGGGGAGGAGGTAGGAGGAGAGAGGAGGGAGGAAGAAGGGGGAGGAGGGAGGAGGAGGGAGGTAAAAGGAGGAGGGGGGAGAGATGCCCACCGGCGCTGCCTGCTCGTTACTCGATGTTATCGCCATGTAATTATGCCGTAATGGGGTAATTATGTCATGTTTAGGTCTCGTTTCGCGTAGGCCTACCCTCTGTACCCCTTTTTTCCCTCCCGTGCCCAAGCAAGTGGCGCGAACTCGACATTCCAAGACTTTCTCGACCGTAAAGGGGAAACTGATAGATTAACTGATAAGGATTGAGATATAATCGACCCGGGCACAAACGCCATTAAACTGGGTATCTGACGCGTTAATAGGTTGTATGGATAATGAGATTCATCGTTATCTTATCGTTAACGTTAACTAATCAATGATTTCCTTGTTGGTGATGCTGTAAGATTTTTTTTATATTCATGTTGGTAGTAACAATATCATCATTTGATATATCAACATTATAATTACCTTTAGTATTACTGTTTTCATTATGATCAATATTGAATTATTCGTTCTTGATATGCTTTGATAAACTCACGTAGTCTCCGCTTCTCAAAGTGATATGAAATGCAAACACACAAATGCACTACGTTATATATATATATATATATATATATATATATATATATATATATATATATATATATATATATATGTATACACACACACACACACACACACACACACACACGCACACACACATACACACACACACAACAACAACAACAATAACATCAACAACAACAAACAACAACAAAAAGTGTGCCCTAGATATTGATTTTAGATATAGTTCTTATTCGAAATATAGTCTTTACTCTGAAAATACTTGCTTAATGAAAACCATAACCAGCAAATCTAGTAACCAGTGACATTATTATTAATATTTTTTTCATTGTAGTTATGTACATACATTTAAAAGACAATAGCAAGTGATTCATCAAAAATATGCATCATTCTAACTGACATCTGATATCAAAATGAAGTTGTTATTAATATAGCACGGATACTGTGAAAAAATCTCAGCCTTATTTTCTTAATAAATTTCATTCCGAATTGAATTGATACGAATATGATATCATGACGGAAAATACCAAAACTCATTCATATTTCTTTATCAATAAAACCACACACTGTTATCTCTTCATCTCCTTAATTTCATCTTAGTGTGTTATATCTGCATAAAGGGACGTGCCTGTACTTTGAGCCTTGAAGGGATTTAGCTCGAGGTAAAGTCAACTTGAAGCTCGTTGATATGTGAGGAGAAAGTTGTAGGCTGATCTGTGCTGTTTGGGTGAATTGTCTGTTTCTTTTCAATGTCGATTGGAGGTAATGGTGATTGTGAACTTCCATGTTGTATCTATCTATCTATCTATCTATCTATCTATCTATATATGCATATATATATATATATATATATATATATATATATATATATATATATATATATGTATATATATATATATATATATATATATATATATATATATATATATATATATATATATACACACATATATACGTATATATGAATATATGTATATATCTATCTCTCTCTATATATGTATATATATATATATATATATATATATATATATATATATATATATATATATATATATATATATATATATATGTATGTATGTATGTGTGCGTGTGTTTATATATATATACATACATGAAATATATATATATACATATATGTATATATATATATATATATATATATATATATATATATATATATATATATATATATATATATATATACATATATACATATATACGTATATATGAATATATATATATATATATATATATATATATATATATATATATATATATATATATATATATATGTATATGTGTATATATATATATATATATATATATATATATATATATATATATATATATATATATGTATGTATGTATGTGTGCGTGTGTTTATATATATACATACATGAAATATATATATATATATATATATATATATATATATATATATATATATATATATATATATATATATATATATATATATATATATATATGTATGTATACAAGCAAGCATATGTACATATACATCTACATATACATCTATATATACATATATATATATATATATATATATATATATATATATATATATATATATATATATATATATATATTGCAAAATCTTATCAAACCAAGAAAAAATAAGTGCAAACTATCAAAGGAGAAAAATCAATAATACAAACTTTTCAATTTATATTCGAATTGAAGGAATCCTCAATTATGTAAATTTTCCAGATTTAAGGTTGTGTGTTGGAAGGTTTTGTGATATATATATATATATATATATATATATATATATATATATATATATATATATATATATATATATATATATATATATAGACTGATTGCATAGACTGTGTATCCAGTCCTTGTACTATGCAATTATTCATACAGTAAATGAGATTTCATAGTCACGACTACTTTAAAGTATAATGACGAATGCATGATTTATATCGTTTTATTAACTGGTATACATAAACAAAATCTATAACTGGCTCGTATAGTAAACACTTCGATAGGCTGTAGAATATAGTATCTAATAGCGAACAAATTTTCTGGTCATGCATCAGGCTGTCGAGGCGGTCAGCGCCCTCTACCACGGCCGCCACATGAGGTCGGAGCACGTGTCCATCGGCGTGGCACCCTCGAAGCCCTGGTGAGTGCCATCCAAGACCAGTCCTTCCTCCATAGGACTCCCGTGGTCGGTAGGATCTGCCGTAGGAGGCTTGTACTGTTTGTTAAGGGAGTCCATGGCCAGCGGCCCTTCTCTGCATTCTCCTGCCTCGTGTTGGTTTCTCGCTAGGCTTGGGTTGTGCGCGTCGTGGGCGTCCCTCGGCGGATTCATCGCTGGAAAGATCAGGGGCTTCGCTTCCTGATGAGACTTCAGCTGGAGAGAAGGACAATTCTGGTCCCCCGTCTGCTCGTCTTCGGTCTCGCTGTGGCTCTCGTAGGCGGTGGTGGCGACGCCCTCCTGCAGGAGAAGTGCCAGAGCGCCGTCGGGGAGCAGCGTCGGGATGAGCGCGAGGGACTGGGCAT